TATCTTATTTCTGCTTTCACTTCTCCTCCTTCCTGGCTTGCTCATTTTGTTCCTTGGTCTCCATGACGCTCTTTGCCGCCTACGCTGAACAACTGGATTTAATCTATATACGTAGATGTAGATTATGTAGATTATATAGATATAGCAGAGTAAAATGGTATGAATGCAAACATATACTATATATACTTGCACTGGTTTATCACATGATACTGAATAAAATACATTAAAGTTCTGCAACCTGAAGAAAATGAGGTGTAAGCAACTCTAATTTGCTATTATTTTTTATATATTCTTTGATATCTTTTTACAATATAGTCTGTTTCTATTGTCTCTCTGAGTCTTTTAAATACAAAAAATATATATTTTTTGGTTGTTTTTTTTTACTAATTATTGGCATTTGTCTCAAATTTGAGTCCATCCTCGTTGCTTGTTTTGTCTCCATTCCAGTTTGCATTGATTTTCCAGCTATTTATGACTTTCAGTTTATTCAAAGCTTCCCTGTACGCTTGAAGATAGATTGAAAAACAAAAGCGTTGTCCCTGTCCCCCCTGGTGGCTGATCAGAAGTCTGACCACGACCTGAGCGCTCCATAAAATCCCAATAATGGGTGAAGAAACACACACTGGGTGGAGGGGGGGCTGGATGACCTTCCTGCTGCAACTCTGCGGGGAGAAATGCAATAAAACAAAGTGTAAACAGTTAAACAGCTGCTGCGTTCGTGTAAAGTCTGTGTCGGAAGGTAGCAGCACCGGGAAGACTTCAGGAGTTTCACCCACTCACCCGTGAAATGGAAATGAGCGGATGTAGCTGCAGAGCTGGCCGGGTGGGGGAGGGGGGTCAAAGGGAGGGAGGCTGTGGACAATGCTACAACTTTAATCTACTGTGGATTGTAATTTATTTTTACATTAACAAATAGATTTCTGTTGATCTTGTGATTAAAATCAGAACTAACGGCTGCAGCTCTGAGAGTCGCTTTCCTCTGTCCATGGTGCTACTTTTTACTGTCCCACCCCTCGCTCTGCTTTTAAACAAGCTTCAAAACACCCTGAACGATCATATTAACACGTATAAACAGTTTATTTGTTTAATCTGGAGCCTGTTCTCTACATTAAAGTTGATACTTTCGACTAAAACTACGAACTCAGGCATTATCTGCCATTTGTGCCTCTCATCAACTCTCAGATCACATTCTCCTACGTGTAATCCCTCCCCTCTCCGCTTCTCATTGGCTACCCTCCCTGTTGCTCCAAAGATACATCTCCTCATTGGCCAAATCTTCCCGCCCTCTTTCCAATATTAACCAATCATCGTTAAGGTGAGGTAGGAAGAGGAAGGAGGAGGTGATGCAGGTCAAATGGAGAGAAATGGGGGAGAAGAGGGAACAAACTGAACCATTTGACCTCGTTGTGTTAGAAAAGCTAGGTTGTTAAAAGTATAGATTTATTTGCTTTTAAAAGTAAAGTTGTCCTATTTTATTGTATGATCCTCCATCCTTTTTCAGGTAGTTGTATTTGCAAATTCATGTTGCAATTTTTAAACCTGCAGTTGCAGTGTGGTAATGATCCATGTTGGAATATTTGACAAAAGTACAATCAAAGTAAAATAAATGAAGCAGTTTGTTTCCACAAACAGGAATATAAACCACCAATCTACTAAAATACAGCTAACATTGTTAAACTGTGTTACTATAAAGCTCAGAAACAATAATATCTCATCTCAAGGATTAGTCAACCTCAAGGTTTTATACTCCGGATATTTATTACTGGCATTTTTTTTTTTTTTTACATAGACTAACACAAAGTGAGTAAGGATAAATCTAAATGAAAACTTTTTGAAGGTTTTCAGTTAAAAAGACTTGTTATTTACTGTGATATCTTTAAATAAAGTCCAATGTCACTACCTTTAAATAATAAAAAAAAAACTATGTAATTAATTTTCAGTATAGTTCCAGCTCTTCTTTGAAGGTCTCAAAGGTTTATTAGAGAACATCAGATTGCAAGCAGAATGGTAAAGAAAATGAGCAAATAGGTCCAGCAGAAAGTGGTGAAGAAGTCTGGAGTCGTATTATAATCCTACTTTCCAAGTATATCACAGAGCATCAATAGAAGATGGTGAGAATGACATATTTCCTAAATTAGCAGGTTGGACAATGTTCATCGGAAAGGTTTATCTGGAGGCGTCCAATTTTCTAAAGCTCAGGTGGTTGACAGTGTTTGACAAATAGGTTTGTTTTTATGAAAGACTAGCAAGAAAAAGCAGTTGTTAGGAAAAAAACAACTAAGTGAAGTCAGATTTTTACGGGACACAAACTTTTGTCAGATGATACTAAAGCTCATATGTATGGCCTACAGAGAAAGGGGGGTGGTTAAAAGCAAGCACCGCTGATCCTTCTGAGCATCAAATCCTTATGCTGGTGATAGTAGTTATCAGGTAGTTATCAGTTGCGCTCCTCTCAGTGGTTACTTTTTAATGTACCCCGAGCTTCAACTGAGTTGGAAAAAACTGCATTCTCCTACTCTGCACCTTGGGGATGGAATAACCTCCAGAAATAGCTCAAGTTAGAAACCCTCG